TTCTCTATGCATGTAGCTAGGGTTAATAAGGTATAGGTTAGGTAGGTACCTATTTTAGATTCTGAACGGTTCGGTAAATTATATAACGAACAATAATACGTAAGTTAATACACGGGAATTACCCATTTGGGCCAGAAAAATTAATTCATTTTGTGTACAGCCTATTTACGCTAAAACAAAAAAGGTATGTTTTTCCGACAGTTAATTTTACGCCAAATTTAGCTGTAAACATTATTTAATATATTTATTAGTTATTTTCATTATTCTATAGATTTTAAAATTGTGTATACTATTGCGTAGACAGACTGAAAACAAGTTTTATAATATCAGTTTTATTAAGTTGTAGAGAAGTACGATACTGCGATAGTGCGATGTAACAGCTATACTATGTTATCGGATATCGTTATTCATCAAAACGTTCAGGTATATATACAAATGTATAGATATGTATAGCTGAACATTGTCTTCAACCATATTTTTTCCTCTTTTGCTTGTCGTACATTCCATTCTTAGTATATTAATTATACTAACAAAAATAAACAAAATACAGACAAGTATATTACCTATGTACTATGTAGTGTAATAAATATATATATATTGGAATAATATGCTTCTTATAAAAATATTGAACTGTGGCGTTTTTTAAATAAAATATGCCCAGCAAAACTATTGTACCTACGACAAAATATAACTGCCGCATAATATGCAAGCCTTTGTCTGTCGAAGACATAATATACAAATATATTATATTTTATAAAAAATGTGCACTATATTAACTATTATTATAGCCTATATGATTTTAAAAATATATCCTAACCTATTTATTGATTGTTGTCTGGATAAATAAGTATTACTGATATTAGTGATATTATTTTTAAAAACTCGTATTATTGAGTATGATTAAAAAAAAATTTAATATACTTGCTTATATTGCAAATGTATACACAGGTACATTTAGCGTAAATGGACTCCCGGAAAAAAACATACCTTTTTTATTTTGGTACAAATGGGTGATGCCCGAATACGGAATTTATAATGTGAAATTAAATGTGGTTAAAATAATAGGTATTAATTAATGACTTGGATATTTTATTATCAATTCTCGTCAGACCTTACTTTGAATGCACATATTATAAATACAATTTATGCAAAAGCTTATAGAAACTTAAGATTTATTCAATGGAACTGAGAAACATTGTTTAAAAACGTTGTACATTACAAAACATTTATTAGTATTGGTTCGTTGTGTGGTCGAATTTGGACCAGCTGTTTGTTTTAAAATAATTATAAACAATGCCTGATTTATAAATGTCGGTTACAACTGTTACTGTAAAATACGGTTATCTAGTTGTATAATATTTCTAATATCTATGTCCTATGACCAAAACACAATTGAAAAAAAATTGTTTAAACTCTTTTTAGCTAGGTACCCAGGTACCCTATGTATAATATATCGCATGTTTAATTTCTATACCTAATGATTTGAAAGATTTTGATTTTGTTTATGGATAAAAAGGCGAAATTAAAGTACTGTACTACTGTGCCATAATAAAATTAATGTATTATATAACTTTATACATGAATTATGTTCACTTCATATAATATATTCAGTAATACAGTATAATATCTGTAGTACCCATCAACAGAATTTATATAATTATATTTAATACCTATACCGTATTAACTGTACCCTTGCCCTCGCGTAAATTATTTAATAAATAAAATACATTTTAATATTAAATGAATAAAGAGAAAATTATGTTATGTTACTCTTTTTTCTGTCTGTTCTCATCATACATTATGGCAAACTATGGAAAAAATGCAAACGCTAACATGTAAAACTGAACCCATTAATAGGTATAAATGTATAATGACAAACGATGACTAACGACCAATTGTGGTTATATATCAATAATACTTAATAGTCTTATTAGTCATTAATTCATAATACATATTTTATATAATATAGCCATATCGTATGTCCCCTATCTACTGATTATTGAAGGTATTCGCCTGGACGTCCTGTTGTTCAAATGTTCTCAATGAGAATATCAAAATAAAAAGGCGTATGATGAGGTATGCCACGTGCATGAGTTTGATGACAGAAGGGTAGGTATATGTGATACATAGTATACTTTACTGAGAAATTTCCAATACAATATAATAAATTTCATAATAAATAAAACTGTTTTCACGATCACGAACTAATGAACCCATGATGTTTATAAATATTCGAGCTATAATAGAGTAACCAAATGTACAAATTTCATAAAAAAAAAAGGTTTTATACAGTTATAAAAATATATAATATCTTCTTTTTTATGCATGATATATATGATTCTTCGGTGTATTCTGTTAAAATAACTTTTGAACAAATTGACCGATTGAGGTAAAAAGTATATCAATAGATTCGATGAAATTTGGAGAATGTATATTACGTAGTTTTAGCTCATAAATGATATAATTTATTATATTAAAGATTAGGTACCCATATCCTATTACATGGCTATATATTATAATGTGCCTGTGACAAAATGAAAAAATATAAGTCTCCAGCTACCATAATTTAGGCTTGACGTTGATCAGTCATTGCATTCAGTCAAAAAAGCACTTTTAGTTTTTCTTTAGTTATCTAATTTTTTGGCCAACTTTTCTAATTTGTCTTTTCGTAAAATCCTTATTTATATTTGGATTACATGGTTAGGTAATACAAAAAATTAGCCAAATCGGATCAGCCTTTATCAAATGATGCAATTACCAACGAAAAGCATTTAGTTTTTATTATTTCCGAGAATCCAATTAATTCTTTTAAGACGTATTACTTATACACTAAAACCTTCTTTAATACTTAGTCATTCTGAACATATAAGAAAGGTGTTTCAATTTTATATTATAATTACTAATTACACAATTAGAATAAATAAATTATAAAACTATTTATAAGATTTGAAAATTTCATACAAGATTCTTCATACGTTTTGTTTACAATGTCATATAATTTAATTGGGGTATATTTGAAAATTTTCGATATTGGATATTTACCAATATTACACTTAAATTAAGTAATTAATTGTTTTTTTATTAAACAAAACGATTCAACGACAATGGTTATTAGCGTACAGTTATTGAATTACATAACTCATTTTTATTGGACGATTTTCTTATTTTGCTGTCTTTCAAAAACGCATAGATAACTGTAGATACCTAAAATTGTAACCAAATGAAGTTTATAGCTACTATATAATTTTCTTATTATTAAAAATATTTGACTTGTTTTGAGTTACTTACATTATATTACACATTTTCAATTTTCTATAAATGCCAAGAAAAATTTTCAAAAAATTTGAAAATTTAAGATTTTTCATAAGTTGTTATAAAAGTGGTTGAAAATATCAAAGATACACATACACAATTTTTTTTTGTAAGCATTTTAAGTTCAAATTTTAACAAAATTTACGAAAATCTCGAAATTATGCTATAATTATTTTGTAGTTAAAAATGTATAATTGCTCAATTTTTAGAGTTAAGAATTGTAAATTTAAAAATTAATTTCTCACAAGTAGTTCATACTGTAACCAACAACTAAACAATACATTATCACAATTTTTTTTTTAATATGTATTTTGAGTTCAAAGTTCGATAGATATTTAAAAGAGTTATTCTGTTATGATTAAATAATATTATTAGTGTGAGACGTGAGTTACTTGAAACTTTTAAAGTATATTATAACAGAATGATATACAACAATTAATTCAACCAACTATAATACTAATAGTAAAATAAATTAGGTTACCTAATCTAATTTAATAGCAATATCATAAAACATTCTTAGTAAATTCAGGGTGGCAGTCGGTAGACCGCCTTCGCTCAGAATCGTTTTTCAAATACTATAATTCTTAATTTTATACCATTGAATTCAAATTTAACATATCCATAACAGTGATCTCTCCAGACACGACCACTGTACAGCAATACGGTACCCACTTTCCCACCTATTTTTATGTAGAATGTTCTATGTAGTATTGTAGTGATGTGTAGCGTAAAATGTTCAGCATAGAACAATAATAAGTCAATGTTCTAACTTCTAAGCCAAATTGGCACTTGGACAGTCTTCCAATACCGTGATGGTCACTCTGTTATATTCATAGAACAAAAACTATATAATATGAAACCGCATATACGCCCATAGAATAAGAATATACCAATACAATAACTATAATATACAATATTATATAATATCTGTGTATAAAATAATTAGTTGCGGTCTTGTTCTTATCATTGAAGTCAACGGAGATTACTGATTTGTCAAGCAAACAATAATTGCTAATATATATAAACATGGATCAATAAATGCTCCAAAGGACGCTACACAAGCATATTGTGTTGTCTTCGTCTTACAGTTATAAAACATGGCAAAACTTGCTTTGAGCGGGGGTAAAAACGAGGAGGCAACAATCATACATTTCTAACTAAGAAATGAAATTTTCGCCATATAAAAAGGAGGACTTTGGCTGTGAAATATTGTTTTTATTTTTTAGATGTTGGAAGTACAAAAAAAGTTATTTAAGTTTGAAATATCATAAAAATAAGAGATTTTGAAACAATAAGAACTTTTTTTGTATAAGTGATACCAAAAAAATTAAAGCTACATTTCACAGGTAATGTTCTGAACTACATTGTATATTAATTTGGAGTGTTAGCTATCACTACAGCCTGAGTGGTTCTATTCCGCGCAAAAAAGTTTTTGCGTTGTTGTACATTTGTAAGACGGAGAAAATAAATGCAGGTGTAACATCCTCTTAAACGCTCGATTTCTTCCTTCAAAATTTTCAATATTGCATAGGTACAGCTAGTGGTTTCCACAATTTCCACGACAAGGTACTTACCAAAATATGGTACGCAATGAAAGACGAAAGACGGCTATGTTGTATAATATCTATAGTTATATTTTTCTGTGTTATCTTTAAGTTTATTGTCAATGATAACAGATAGTACCTAACTGATACTGCATATCACCGAATTGTATAGCCTTGTGTTTCTAAAGAAAATATTAAAAATTAAGATTTAATATTTATTTAAATTTATTATAACAATTTAATAGCTTGCAGTATTAAAATTTATGAAATACACATCTTATGTTCATTCTATAATGTACAGATATACATTTTTCAAAGCAGCTGATCACTGTCGAGCTGCCTTAAGTAATATAGTGCTTAAGAGAAATGCTGGTCACAACAAATGGTCCAATATTAAGCACATAAAAGGAGCCAACGACCAACAGAAATCACTATTGTTTGCCAGGTTTAGCCGTCAAATGAAACTAGCCATCAGGGGTAATGTTTGCGTTTTGTTATTAACAATTCAATTCAGATTACGGTTAATGTTTTGCTAAGCGTTTTGCCGTGCATAGATCACTTACATACTTACCTCATGCCTATTAATTAATAATATTATTATACATATTTTAATTTTACGGTTTCAAATATCAATATATTTACTCATATGAAAACATTGTAATTAATATTATAATTTACATAACACCAATATAATATGCTATATAGTACTGCAAAATTTCTTATGTGATATATGTATGCTATCAGACAAAATCTGCTTTCTCTTCTTTTTTAATTATTCTTAGTTGTTTTTAGTTTGGTCTATTACATTTTTGTTATTGTCTATTAATTTTAAATTGGTTTTTTATGTTGTAATTAAGCAATGGTTATTGGTTATAGTTTGGATTCAAATTGTAACACTGAGGTTAATGCATTTTCCCTATTTTAGTTAAGTTTATCAACATATAAATATAAATTCAAGTACTTGAATTAAACTTGAAATTGCTTCTCACAATAAAAGTACAATTAAAATACCTAATCATATTTTATATGATTAATTTAATCAAAGTATTATATTTTAGATATTTTAAAAATATCACAATACCTAGTCACCTAGATCTGAAAATAAATATTTCAAACACAGATTAGAAATTAAAAAAATTATGAAAAAATAATGGTTTTTTTTTTCAGAACAAAATGATTCAAATCCTGAAACCAACTCTAAGTTGGCATCAATCATTGAAATGGCTAAAAAGAACAGTATGCCGAAAGATACTATCTTAAATACTATAAAAACACATGTACAAAAATTAGTTAATAAATCTAGCAATTATTTTTCATATCCGATATGTTTTTTTTTTTTAACAGACTAAAATTTTAAATATTTGTTGTAATTAAAAATACCAACACCCATCTAGAAATAAATATAACTGTTTTTTATTTGTAGTTTTGCTATTACTTTATTGATAAAACCATATTTAAATTTAAATTTAAATAACATTGAATTCTTACATACCTAATGTAATAGTCTGTTAAATATAAAAACTGATGGGTGTTAAAAATATATTGACTACAAAATGTAGTTTATTTTTTATACATTTTTTTTTTTTAGTCGAATAGTAAAGCAGATCCACATTGGCATGAAATTAAAGGACCTAGAGGTTCAATTATACTGATTCAATCATTGACAGAAAATGCAAAACTACTAAAGCAAAATTTAAATACTTTAGTACGAAAATCAGGGTAAGAATTTTAAAATGTAATAAATCATATTTTATAAAACAGTTCTCAATATATATATCATAAAAACTGTTTTAAATAGACCCTATTAAATTCTTAGTGGAATGATTGGTTTTACAATGATGTTTTCATATTTATTAATTTTTTTGTAAATTATTTTTTAGTCCTTCATAACTTGTTCTTTCTACAACTAAACAATTTAAAAAAAAATATGCGACATAATATTAGACATTTAAAGTTTAAATATTGACAAAATCGGATGTGTGAAATAATGATTTTAGTTATTTTGTTGTAATTTATAAAATATTATCAATTGCAAGGACTTGAAACTTTTGTCACCGTTATGTATTTTATAATTATCCATCTGTATTCTGTATACAATGACATTTTAGAAATATTTATCACATTAAGCTATTTATACCATGAACTTATCCATACTGTCCTCCAGTATGTCTTTATTTACTTTGGAATGAACGACATTTATAAAATATATTATGCAATATTATTCTCAAAATTTGTTCAACATACTTATGTACTTCCATAACTAATAATAAATAATAAATAAATAATGTGCAGTAATATATATAAATTATTAAATATACTTAGAAATAGTCTTGTCTCCAATCAGAATTTTGTACACAATTATTTATCATTGAATTCAAATTCTACACAATATCCATACAGTAACCTCAATGACAACTCTATTTTATTTATTATTGTTATAATAGTTCATATTTTAATCTGTTATTGGCTTAAAAATAATATGCTCTTTTTTTACAGAGTAAATATCAAGTATTTTTAGAAAAAAGAGATAATAAACTTGTTAAATTAACGTCTAAAAACTAGAATACCAACCTATTTGTGATAAATAGTATTCACACAATATTCGACTAAATGAAATAATAAATTATATATGTATGTCTCGAAAGCCACTGTAATGGATGTTTTAAACTTAAATTAAATGATAAAAATCATTGTATAAGGTAAAAGGATTCTGAGCAAAGATAGTCTGTCAGCTTATAATAATACTAAGTATATTTCATGAATTATTGTGATTAAAGTAATTAATTTTACAATTAGGTATTAGTACTACAGGACGCTAAATTTATTTATGCCAAAAATATTGGTTTGAAAACTTCATTGTGTGCTTAAAATATAATAATATACTGTAAAAGTTTCAAGTGCTCACAAATAATATTTTTAAATCACATCAAAATAACTAAAATCATTATTCTTGGTTTTAATAAGTAATTTCATCCAAATTTGAACTTAAAATAAATACAAATAAATTTGTATTTTTATATTTTTTGGTTACAGAAATAATTACTTATCTTATATGGAACCTTATTTTAATTTTCAATCCTTAGCTGTTAAAGTTGAGCAGTTTCTAAATTTTCAACTTCAAAATAATTTGTAAATTTTCAATTTGATAAATTTGCCAACATTTTAACTTTAAATGCTTATAAAAAAAATTGCGCATGTTTATTTTTAAAGTTTTTCAACTGCTATTGAAACAATATATTAGGAAGCTTGCATTACATTTTCTAAGCTTTTTGCCTCAACGATTTTGTCAAAACATGATTTTATGTAAAAATTACCGTATTTCCTCACTTTTTTTTGTTTTTTTTTCCCCCAGTGTTTTTAAGGTATAAAATAAAAATTTAAAAAACATTTTGAATCTGAATCTGAACAGTGTGAATTGTATTATATTCAAAGAACTGATCATTTTAAAGTATTTAGTTAAACCATCTAATTTATGTAGTAATTAGTTGTTTTGTATTTTATTTAAAGCTTAGCATATTGTGATTCTGGAGCTAAGCATTTGTTTATTCACAAAGGAATTCTAATAGCTAAACCATCTGCTGATTTGACAAACGCAACAGAAGATTGTATAGAACACGCAATTAATGCTGGTGCTGAAGAAGTAGAAACTGCCAGTGACGATCTAGAACCTGGATATTTTAAAGTAACTTTTTTAAATTTTATCCTTTATACTAGTTATAGTGTTAAATTAAGTTCAATAGAGCCAAAGAAAATATTTACTAGGCAGTTAAAAATTGTTTAACTATTTTCATATTTAAAGTTAGTTTGTCATGCATATTACATATTATCTTCTTCTTATATAAAAATGATTGTTTGTTTGTTAGTAATCAGTAATCTTGGAAACTATTGAACCAATTGGTAACAAATTTTGAGCACACAGTCTTTGAGACTCGGAGAATGCTTATAGCTTTGTTTTTTAATCCATATAGGTTGCTATAGGCTGGCTATAACATGCATTTTGTTGTTGCTAACGAGAATAGAAAATTTTTTTATTTTTCCTCTGTATTAAGAGTTGGTTAAAGGAATAAAATATACTTCTATATAATCTATAATATATATAATATATTATGTTTGTGTAAATGAATGTTTGCTTGTAGCTTATATACCTACTCAAACATACTTATCTGGCTAATTTACTTACATTCATTTTAAGTTTTTCCATAAATGAATACCAACATTTATAGTATTCATTTATACAAATTGCTTATTTACTTTTACATAATTAAAATTACTAAGGGTTTTTAGACAAATGTAGTTATCATGTTGTAGTTTAAAAGATGATACATCAACGTTTGACGTTATATAAAATTACACCTATATAGTAAAGAGCGTTTAAATTAAAAACATTAAAATCATTAAATACATTTTCTGTGGAATGATAAAACTTTGCTTTTTTAAAATTGTTTTAATTAATGTGCACAAAGCAACTTTTAATATTTTTAAATGCATAATGTATGTCCCACCCCAGATTTCTATACCATACCTCATTAATTATTGACTATTGAGCATGATTTATATGAACTATACTTAAAAATTATTTTCTTAAAATGTATCTTAAACTCTTAAATATATTAAGTAACATATAAATCATGTTTGTTATATGTTGAATGTGACTTTATCATTTAAGCTTTTCATTAGGAAAATGTCAGTTCAATATTTGTTTTCTCTCTCAGACCTATACTTAACATAGATAAAATATTTTACCTAAAATCATTTTTGTTATCTTTGAGTAAAACCAAATATTCCAAAAATGTAATATTATAATATTTTTGAAGGTTAGGCATATTGATATTATATTTTATTATCATCCCCTCTAAAATACTATTCTCTGTCATTTTTGAAATGTTCGATTTTATTCTAATATTACTCAAAAAAGCTTTACCTCTATTAGGTTACTTCCACAGTACGTACTTCATTTTATCCTATACAATTTTATGATTGACTAATTTAAAAGCTTTTTTAAATACCAGAATACCTATACCAAAACCTTTATTATCATCTAAATTTGTATGAACAAAATTAGAAAATAAGATTAATGATTGCATAATCATAAATAAAAAAAAAGTTTTATAACTGATCTTAAAACATATGATTTAATATCTAAATTATTAAAACTATCATTAAATAAACAATATATACCAGTAGTACAAAAAGTATTGTCATTTACAGATAACAATATTTCAGTTGAGTTACAGTTTGGTAATACATTTTTATTACATTTTAAATGATTTAACAATCTTTAACAAACCTACATATATATTAGAGTCTAGTGCGGCGAATATCAAATAAGAATAAACATCGCACTACCACGTGTAAACACTATGTTACACTTACAGTAGTCTCGCTAACCCAGACTATAGGTGAGACCGGACTCTATCCGGATTAAACTAATGACGTTTTTTTAACTTACTAATAAATGTAAATAAAAAACACCTTATGTATTTATACAAATTCAAAATGTATTGATTTACAATTTTGCATTACACATTTTTATTGCTATTATTATGATATATGTATTATATAATATATACATATATCAATACAAATTTACAGAAAATAAGACTGAACTCACTTGAAAAAATAATACAAACACACTACATATGTAATCGAAACGATATTATCTCAATCATTAATCATGGGTATTCCCGAATATATACATTATACATGAGTACTGAAGTACGAAATATAGATTTTCCGTATTAGCGATGATCGGATTACCTAGACTCTCCTGTATCATCATTTGATCAGCTTTGTTAAAAACACAAGAGAAAATAAATAATTTTACCCATTTAATGAAAAGTTATAGTGCTCACAAAACCGAGTTTCACTTAAAAATATAAAATCAAATGTATAATGAAAATAGTTTTAAAAGGGAAATAAACTCATAAAAATGTAGTCTAATACTCCTAATATTATAGACAAATTAATATTATTAAAGCATGTTTCTTTTAAACAATCAATCTGAATAGTACAGTGAAATTTCCATCTAACGAACTTCCATTTAATGACATATTCTATTTAACGAATTATTTTTGAGAACCAAGACCCTCATTGTTAATCACACGTAAATTTATCTCCAAATAACGAATCTGATGTTTCTATATCACGAAATAATTATTTGATAAAAACTGGTTTTTGTAAATGTTGTCACTATCAAATTTTAGACATATAGTTCTAAAATTGTACATGAACAATGTATCCGATAAAGATGAGACATCGGAGGTAGGCAAACTGATACATTTTATTGCAGTATTTTAAAACTTAATGATATAGAAACTTTTTACGAAAAAAGTACAATTTATAAAAATAATAAGCAAACAAAATAGTTTAATTATTTCTTCTGAATTATAAAATTAAAAACTAATTAAACTGTAATATTATATTTGATGTTGTTTTTTACATAACATATTATACAACATAGAAGCATATACATACACACAATAACATTTTTAAAAATAGTTGAAAAAAATACGTAATTCTATTAAACGAATTTCTGCATATTACGATTTTTTTTTGCTGCTTATTCTACTTCGTCGTATGGAAGTTTCACTGTATTAACACATTATTATTTTGAATATTATTCATGTCATACCTTATAAGTTAATTCGAGTTACCTACTAAAAAAAAAAATTATTATCTACTTAATCTTTTATTAAAAGACAGTATATGAGAAATGTTAATGATATGAGATCCAATTAAACTCGTTTTTTTTAGATTCTGAGCGAAGCAACGAATATATGATATACAATAATGTGTGTTTTTATATTTATTTTTTTTTGTTTCTGTCATCATGGTTTGGTTCAGTAAAAGTGCTTTGATTTTCTTCAACAGCAACTTTTCTGGTATAAAAGTGAATCTAGTTGACGCATTCGGGAGGTTTAAATTTAAAATTCCCGATAGTTTTCAAAAGCGACAAGAAAAACAAATAAAAAATTGAAGAAAAATGGGAAGTTTTCGAAAAAATAGATTTTTGTTTTTAGTGTTACTCAAAAAAAATTACTAAATATACATGCAATTTTCACTGTGTTTTTGTAGCATTTTCTATGCATCATACAATTTAAAAAATATTTTGACTCATATTGAACTATTTATAGGCTGCATATGAAATGTTCGATTATTATTACTTAGTTTTTTTCTTTTAATGTTTATAAAAAAATGTATAAGCGTTTGTTTTTAAAGCATTAGAATTTTGACAAAACTTGTAAAAATCACGCTAATTAGCAAATTATATTTAGTTAGAAATTCATAAAAAATTTTCTTTTTATATAGTTTTTTTATAGTTTGCTTAACTTTATCAAAAATATTTCTACCGGAAAGTCAAATTAAATTTTTATGAGCGTTTGAAGTTGAAATTTTTAGAACATTGGATATTCACTCGATTTCTCTTGTGGCGATTTTCTTATTTTGTCGTAATTCAAAAACAAATTACTGCAGATACTTGAAATTTACACCATATGTTAATTTCATCACTTCATATACTTGATAAATTTTTCAAAATATTTTGACTTGTTTTAAGCTGTTAACGAACATTTACAATTTAATTTTTCTATAGATGTCAATAAAATTGTATTGGTTGAGTCAAAAAGCTTGAAAATTTAATATAATACTCTTGATATATTGTTTAAATAACAGTTGAAAAATATTATTTCATAATTCAAATTTTGACAGTTGAAATTTAAAATGATTTTTTAGTTGAAAATATAAATTTTTCAATTTTTATAACTAAGGATTGTTAATTTAAAACAAGGTTCCACTTATGCAGTTATTTTCAACTGACATTTTAAGTTCAAATTTGGTCAAAATTGCTCATTAACACAATGAATAACGTTTATCATTTTATTGTAATTCGGTTCCAAAACAAACTAATATAATAATATAATATAGACTAATATAATATTTTTCCTGCACCACTGATAATTTAAGAATAATATTAATTCTACTTATCGCCTACCATATTAATAATAATTCATAACAATATAAAATATCCTAGACTGACATAGCGTCTCCTCTCATAGGCGTTTTTTGTGTACAATGATATGATATCATTGAATTCAAACTTAATACCATCCATTACAGCGACTTCCTAGACACCTAATTTACAGCAGAGCGACATCCACTTACCCGTTTTTTATAATGATTACACTACTATAATAATCTGTTCAAATATATTAGTAGTTGTAGTGTTATTTTGCTATTTGTTTAGCGGTTTAGCCAGCAAACAATTTTTCATTGTTCATTACATAGTTGATCATTTACATTTTACAAAAGTGTCATGACTTGAAAAAGTAGAATGAAATAAAAAGTAGATTTTAATTTTTAGTTTTTATTTAATAGCAGATAATCAATTATTTTGAAGTATGTCCTTTTTAGTTGTGCTGACCACTAATTATGTAAAAAAAACTGTGAGGCCCTCACTTACCTAATGGACTTATGAAATAATATTTAATTTAAGTTAACCTAATTATTTAAGAAAACATAAGGAAGATTAAAATTTATTAGGTCTTAGATAATTAATAGAATATTTGGAAAATTTTAAATTGAACCTATTATTATAACAACACGTTATAAAGTATATTATATTATTAAGTTTGAAAACAGCAGTTATAGCTATTGTGCATAGTTCAGTTAATTGCAGTATGAAAT